GGCTGGCATGTGGTGCTGGGGGATTGAACCACGGTCCCTGTGCTTTGCTAAGCTTGTTCTAAGTAGGTGCTTTAGACCACTGAGCCATCTCACCAGCCCCACAAAGTATGATATTTTCATGTAATTGATAAATTAACATATGAGACTATGAACTTAAAATATCAAGAGCACTGGTAAGAAAAAAAAAGTGAAAAATATAATTTTGTGGTTAAATATTTTAGAACTTCCAAGAAAATCAAATATATTTGCCAAGGTTCACCCTTACCCTTCAATTTTATTACTTCCAATAAAAAGGGTTGTAATTAGAGTAAACAAGAACTTAGCAGACCACCACAAATTAAAAGTCAGGTAGAAAATGACACAATATTTTTTGAATAGTAGTGAAGTAAACATTTTTTAAATTGCCAAACAATGCAAAGATGAATACCTTGTCTCCCATGGGCGAGCAGTAAAGGCATACGGCTTAGAGGTTAGGGCACCTACAGGACAGATATCAATAACATTCCCAGATAATTCAGACATGAACATTTTTTCAATGTATGTGCCAACTTGCATATCATTTCCTCTGCCTGTTGTTCCCAAATCATCCACTCCTGCAATCTCACTTGCAAACCTGTAAGATAAACATGGATTGCCAAATGGTGGAGTGGAGCAAAATTAATTCATTTTCCAGTCATGAACACAAAGATGACTTTCAAAACACTCAAAGGGTATTTTTAACAGAAAGCATAGTCTCAGAATAAAAAATAATTCCAACAAGGTATTATGACACATGCCTATAATCTCAATACTCAGGGAGGACAAGGCAAGAGGGCCATAAGTTCAAGGCCAGCCCAGTTAACTAATTCACCAAGATACCGTCTAAAAAATAAAAAATAGAAAAGGGCTCAGGATGTAACTCTGGGCAACAGCCCTGGATTCAATTTCTCAGTATTACCAGAAAAGGGCATAAATAGTATGCCATAAATATTTTTAAAAATTTATTCCAGATAAAGACTGTTATGGCTTGCATTTAGACATCTGCCCAAAAATTCATGCAGTCACATGTGGGGCTTTTTCAGAGGAGGCTGGCTCTAGAGTGTGATTGATTCATGGTGCAATGCTAGGATTAAGGCTTCTAGGATTAAGGGTGGGTAGTTACTAAATCAGTCTACTGATTGCTTTGGCACCACCCTATACCCAGTAGCCTGGATACAATATAAGAGACAGAAAGAGGCTTATCTTGTCCCTTATTTCTTTCTACCTTCTGCGTGCCATAAACTGTTAGTCCTCTGTGATGTTACCCTACCTCGGAGCCATCCAATTATAAACTAAAACCTCTACAAACTATAAGATAAATAAATCTTTTTTTCCTTAACTTTGGTCATTGGGTATTTTGTCTCAGCAACAATAAAAGTAACTGAAACAGACACATAGCCATTAGCCCTCCTCCAAATATCCCCCCTCCCTGCAAACACACATATGCCATTGTTCTTCTTACTTTGTGAAGCAGTTTTAGAAGTCCTCTTTCCTCTTTGGCCCCAAAATCTCCTTGATCAGAAAATCTGGGACACTACCGAGTTACATGACGTTACAGTACAAGTTCTCATATGTCCTGAGTCTTAATTGACCTTGGAAGGCTAGGGCCAAAAAGTTGGATTTCCTTGCAGCCCTCCTTTTTCTCTAATTTTGGTCTGCAAACTTAGGTTGTTAACCCTCCAGAAGACAAGCTTATTGTTATTACCATACAACCTAGGCTGTTAAGCTTAAATTCACTATCTGAATTTCAAACATCTTAGGCATAACATGGCCTAAAGAGAGTATTATGGAGAGAAAACATTCTCTTAGGCTTTCAAAGAGAGCACACTGGCCAAGCAATGGCTGTGACTCATCCACATGGCTGACACTGACAAAGGTTCTACAATCTGAGGTACAGGATCTCAGGATAAATCCTGAGGGGATTTCACTGACCTTATCAGACCCAAAAGCTACAACTCTTGTTGCATAAGTCCTGCTTTACCTTGGTCTTAACCATCCAGCAGAAAAGTATAAAAATGAAGTGTAAGAAGTAAAGCCATGCTGTTATGTTGAGCTGTAGGGGACTCAGGTCAACAATTTCTGATATTGCCAGTGAAGTGGAAGACCCAATACTATTATGGACTACTGGACTCTTTTGGAAGAATGTATGCAATGTGTTAATTATTGAAACTGTCCTACCAATTTGGTTTGAAACTGTCTCATTGCTATTTGTTTCTCAAAATTATGGGGAAAAAAAAATAGAAATTCTCTTTCATTAGCATCCTTACAGGTGTGATGAGAAATACAGTGACTATTGCAACCTGGTGCCATCCAGTGGCAAGGCAGCCTTGTAAAAGCATAACGTTGTCCTCATCCATCCTCCTTACCAGATTGGGCACTGAACTCTTGGTTCTGTTGCAAAGTCAAAATGACTATAAATGGTAAATACCTGGAATCTATGCAGGAAATGAAAATAGTCACAACAGTGCAATTAAAGTCACTCATTGAAGAGGACTTCCCACAACTTCATTAGAAAGTGGCAAGAAAGGGCTAGGTGTAGTGACACATAGCTGTAATCCCAGCACTTGGCAGGCTGAGGCAAGAGAATTGCTATAATTAGAGGATAGCCTGAGCTACATACTGAGTTCAAGTCCAGCATAAACTTCAAAGTCTGACCTTGTTTCAGAAAATAAAACAGGAAGTGGCAAGAATGATACCAAAATGTATACAAAGCAAAAGGGAGTATTTGGAGGATTAACAGCAATGTGTTTTTTCTGATAAATTTTAAAAATAAACATTCACACTTCTTAATCACACTTTGTGCACATACAATTTCAACGTATGTATTTAATGTAATGAGATGTAGCACAAATAAAAAAACTGTACAAATCTTATGTGCACAGCTTAGCAAGTTAACGCAGAATAAATACTCACAAATTTTACACATTCATTCATTTATATTGTGGTACCGAGGACTGTACCCAGGGAGTGCTAAACTATGCTCCAGCCCTTTTTTAATTTTTATTTTGAAGCAGGGTCTCAGACTTGTGGTACTTTTGCCTCAGTCTCTCAAGTGCCAAGGACTATGTGCATGGGCCACCTCATCAGCTTCATCATTTCAGTTCTGACCACGGGTAATTGAGCCTAAGGCTTTCACACATATCTGGCAACTGCTCTACTACCGAGTCACATCCCATGCCATTTTTATTTTTTATTTTGAGACAAAGGTCATGCTGAGTTGCCCAGACTAGCCTCAAACTTGTGTTCTTCCTGCTTCAGTCTTCCAAGGTAGGCGTGTGTACCTTTACACTCAGCACTTTTAATTTTCAATTCAACTGAAGCTGGTATTAACTGAAAATGAACAACTTAATCATTTTATTGGCATATGTAAAAAACATTAAAAACAACCTACTTCTCCCATCAAACAAAAATTGCCATCCTTTCCAATGCTGCTGTTCTACCAAGCTTTGTGAATGTTAAGTATACAATGACATTCCAGTAGAGAAAGAATTACCTGATACATCGAGTACACTGTATGCATCTAGTCATGATGGTCTTTACCAATGGGCCAATGTTCTTATCCTCCACAGCACGTTTCCCCTCTAAAAATCGGCTTCTATCACTTCCAAACATCATGGACTGGTCCTTAAGGAGATTACCAAAAAGCCAATGTAATGCTGCTAATAACATTACAATTGAAGACAACTAAAAAGATTTACAAAATTATACTGGATACCTGCAGATCACATTCACCTCCCTGGTCACAAATAGGACAATCCAATGGGTGATTTGCTAGTAAAAACTCCATCACACCTTCTCTGTATGAAAAATTATAACATGCAAGATCTTAAGAAGCTAGCATTCAAAATGGCTTTTTAACTTTCACAGATAAATTTCTTACATAGTTGGTATTAACTTTATATTTACTGGTATTACCAGAAATGCCAACATAACTAACATTCTTGTAGCATTAAATACATAACTTGAATACTTCGTAAGAATCTAGAATAGGTATAAGGTTATAGCTCAGCAGTAGAGTGCCTGCCTAGTGTGAGATATGCTATGAACTTAATTCCCTGAACTAAAAAAAAAGTCTAGAATAAAATATTATTAGAGAATATAGACAATTATGATTTGTAGCTATAAAATTATCAAAAATTGCTGAAAGGTCCTCAGAAAATATTCATATTAGGTCAATATATAAACAAAGAGGACTGAGGTATACCTCAGTGGTAGAGCAGGCACTGAGGGTGCACATCTAGGTTTGATTCCAAGGACAACAAAAAACTAAAATAAAAAATAAACACAATCAGTGAGAGAAATTAGTAATAGTCTCAACTCAGCACATCTGTTGGTCAGTAGAACAAATTACTAAACAAGGTTCTTTAACGCTGATCACACTCTACGCTCGACCCCACATGTCCCTGACATGATCTGCTCTAGCGTGCACTCATTTCCTGTGTCCTAGAAACCAAACATATCGGCTTCCTCTGAGCCTCATACTAAACTCCTTCTTAAAAGGGCTAAAACCATGCGAACAATGTCTACTACATTAATAACAATGAAGTACCTGGCTTTCTTAGATTTTTCTGAGTTTGTGAGGATATTCCAACCTTTCATCACGGGCATAGCACAAGCAGCTACAACCTGGAATTTCAAGGTTTGTATTTATTTGTCATTATAAGCAGGTAAATGAACAAAAAGGTTAAATTCCATAAAAACATTAAATTGTAATTTAAAAACTAGAAAAGAACAGAGCACTTCTCAAATTAGAACTTTTCAACTTTTCACAGTCACAATGTAACTTGGAATATTACACTTTTGGGTATTTTGCTTTTATTATTGCAGTACCAGGGATCGAACTCAGGACCTTACGCTTGCCAGGCAAGCACTTATTCCACTGAGCTATCTCCCTGACCTTTTTTTGTCTTTTGCAGACATGTTCTCACTGAGCAGTTTTGGCTGAGCTTGAGCTCACTTTGTAGCCCAGGCTGATCTTGAACTTGTAATCCTCGTGTCTCAGCCTCTCAAGTGCTGGGATTACAGGTCTGCATCACCACGCCCAGTAACATTTCTTACAGAAAAAAACTAAGACATTGCTATGGTTTGGTTATCATTTGTCTCCTAAATGTTCAAGAACTGAAAGCTTGATCCCCAATCTAACAGGAGCTTAAAATGTTTTTCTTTTCAGTATGGGGGATTGAAGCCAAGGCCTATACACTGAGAATGTACCCAGACCTTTTTTATTTTGAGACAGGGTCTCACTAAATCACTAAATTTTTCAGGCTGGGCTGGGACTTTTGATCCTCCTACCTCAGCTTGTCAGTGTGGTAAGGATTAAAGGTGTGTGGCAGGGGCTGGAGAGATGGCTCAGTGGTCTAAAGCACCTACTTGAAACAAGCTTGGCAAAGCACAGGGACCGCGGTTCGATCCCCCAGCACCACATGCCAGCCAGCCCCGCCCCCTGGTGGGCTGAGCTGGCCACACACACACACAATAAATAAATGTAATAAATAAAAATAAATAAATAATTAAAAAAAATTAAAAAAAAAAAAAAAGGTGTGTGGCAACACATGGGGTTTGAGAGATGGAAGGACTGTTGAGAGGTGCAGCCTATTGGGAGGTGACTGACTAGTGACAGACTGATGCTTGAGTTTCAGAGTCGTCAGGTCTCATGGAAGTAGACTAGTCTCCCTAAGAATGGATAATAGAAAGCAAGACTGGCCTCTTCCCAGGCTCGTGCTGCCTCTCCTGCTATGTTATGAAGCAGTCAAATACCTCCATGAAGAACCTTCCAAAAGAAAAAAGAAAAGAAAAACCTTCCAGAGGGACAGTCTGATTGGGACTCTCAGTCTCTAAAACTGTTGGACTTAATAAATCTCTTTATTTCATAACATATCAAGTCTCTAAGGTTTTTTTGTTTTTTGGTTTTTTGGTGCCAGGAATCAAACTCAGAACCTTGTGCTTGCCAGACAGGCACTTGTGCCACTAAGCTATCTTGCTGGCTCGCATATTTTTTTAACAGCAACACGAAATGATCTAAGAAAGACATCTTACCTCTTAAATACTTCTTAAATTTATTCTAACAGCCAGTGCAATTGCTAAAAACAGAACTATGCTTTCAGCTGGGGATGCTGGCAAACATCTGTAATCACAGTACTCAGTCTGGGAGGTTGAGGCAGGAGACCCTGTCTCAAAATTTAAAAAAAAAAAAAAAAAAAAAAAAAATTAAAAAGGCTGGGACATAGTAGTGTGAAGGTGCTGGGTGCAGTCTCCAACTGCTGCATCTTGCAAGTGAAGCTCTTTGCTGCCAAGGGAAAGTCACCTCCAATACATAGACAAGGTGCTCTCAATCTTGCCTGGAACCCCGGGTTCTACCCTGCTGTGTTCTCCAATTTACATTCATTATCTGTGTTTCAACAGGCAGGTGCATAGGAAACTGAGGACAAAGGGAAACCTGCAACAAGGCGAGGCCACACCATTACCCAAGCACCAGAAGCCTCAACAGAGGCCCAGCCAGCACTGTAGTCTTCAGGCACCTCACTTTCCTGAATTTCTCAATGTCCTCCGTTCTGCTCAGACTGGAACACTAACAGCAAATACAGCCTGCACTCCTTCCTTCCTTTAGCAGCAGGGCACCAGGTGCCAGCTTCAAGTCCCTCCTTCCTTCCGAGGCCTGTGGGCCAAGATGTTCCCCCATACTTCACCCTCCACCTACCAGTGCCCATTTTTCTAGTAAAAATGCTACTGCACAAGTACTTCTAACATGCTACTTGCAGTTTCACATCCTGCTTGTGCGTCTTAAAGTGCTCGGAAATGTTAATAGCTGGTTTAATTTCTAAACTTAGCACACAGGTTCAGAAAGCATTTTATCAAGGTGATTCCAGTTTTGAAATGTCATTCAAAAAAAAACAAAAATGTAGTCATTCAAAGGGCTGCCAAGATAGCTCAGCAGACTAAATGCCTGCTTAGGCAAGTGCAGGGACTGCGGTTCAATTGTGGGCACCACATGCCATGTCGGACCCACCCCCCGGGGCATGCTGAGCTGACCACCGAGACTGGGCATGGTTACACAAACCTATAATCCCAGATCTGAGGAGACTGAAAATAAGAGAATCAGTGAGTCCAAGCTGTGTAGTGAGACCCTACAGCAAATACATTAGACAGAGAGAGAGACAGAAGAGAGGAGAGAGGAGAGAGGAAGGAGGGAGGGAGAGAGAGAGAAAGAGGAAGGGAGAGAGAGGGAGAGAGAGAGAGGGAGAGAGAGGGAGAGAGAAAGAGAGAAATGTAGTCTTGCAAATACATACGAAAAATACTGAATTTATAGAAAGAAGTAAAAAGCAGGGCTATGTTCAACTCTATAATAGTCTAAAGTTAGCTGCAAGATTTAAGGTTTTCTACTTTCTACAGCACGGTGTGGAATTTTAGGTATGCAGTACCTTAGGTGCCTTCTCAATTTCAACGAGGCACATCCTGCAGTTTCCAGCAACCGACAGCCTTTCATGATAACAGAACCGAGGGATCTGCATGCCAACCTTCTCACAAGCCTAGATGATAAAAAAAAAACACAATTTGTGTGGGGTACAGTGGTACATGTCTGTGACTCAGCTACTTAAAACCCTGAGGCAGCTAGATCACAGGGGTTGAGGTCAGTCTAGGCAGCTCTGCCAAGACCCTGCATTCCATGCCCAGTAACATAAAGATAGATGGATTGATGGATGGATGGCCGGCCAACCCATTAGAATAATGTGACTTCAGTCTGTTCTTACTGAAGCAGAAGAGACCATCTTATTATTCCTGCCATAAATAGCACTAACTTTATCCATTCTAAAGTCAATCCCTAAAAACATGGTATTTTCCTCCTCCTTCACTCCTGATTCCAACTCCTGCTGGCTCAGAATCCAAGGAACCTCATGGGATCTAACAAAACTCAGCATGCCATCACCTCACATGGAAAACTCAGATGAAGTATTCTCAGACTGTGCAGAAGGCTTGACTCCCTGTCTGCTTTGAGCCACGGTCGACAAAAGTTCCCCCTTTAAAGTCTGTCCCAGCGGTATCATATCTGGACTTCTTTGCTTGGTTCCCTTCCTTTGGATTAGAGACAGCAAATCATACAATCTAGCAGCCACAATCCACTTCTGCTCTTTGTTCCATTCATGCCTCCTCCCCCAGGACTCTTGTTTTCTCTCTGAACTTTTTTCTGTTTTCTGTTCACCAACCGAGAGAGGACAGTCCTACCCCACTAATGGTCACCTCTTCTGTACAAGTTCCTCCTTCCTCCAGCCTATAAACATGTTCAATCATCTACTACAGTCAGCTCTTCCAACCTCAGCTCTTACTTTTTTTTTTTGTATTTTAGGGAAGGGTCTACAGGGTGTTCAGGGTCTCGCTACTAGATCAGACTCAGTAGTGATCTGCCTGTTTACAGCCTCCCAGGAGCTGGGAGGCATGCGCCACCATGCCGTCTCAATTGCCATCTCAGCATGCCCCAGGGGTGGGGCATCGGAGATTGAACCCCCAGCCCCTGCGCCTGCTTACAGACATTTTAATCCACTGAGCTACTTGGCCAGCCCTCTCAGCTCTTACTTTAATCCCATTCATTTCCAATGCTTTAACCATTTAGTCAACAAAAATACTTTAATTATGTACTTAAAGCAGCAAGAACGAAGACAGATATTTCTCCAGTTTTCATTTTAGTACACATTCCATGATTCTATCTAAACCTTTCCTTAAATCCCTGATAGTGGGGCCGGGGAGATGGCTCAGTGGAGTAAGCACTTCCCTGGCAAGCACAAGGGCCTGAGTTCAATCCCCGGTTCCGCAAAAAAAAAAAAAAAAAAAAAAAAAAATCCCTGATAGCCATTTCCCCAAGCCTCAAATTTAAATTGGGATTTGCATTTATATTTTTCATAGACAGTTTCAATTGAAGTTATTTCTGTCCTCTACATATATCCCCAGACAAGCTAAAACAAAACAGAAAACTCTAAGAACTCCTGTTCTGCGTCATCCCTGAAGTTTTATCTACTTATTATTCCTTTAATATACCTTTGTTTTCATTCCCATCATTAGTATCTTTTAGGCACTTTTATTTCTGGCTCCACATATACTAGATACTCTTTCCTTCTCTCTCTAGTTTTGCCATTTTTCAAACTATCATTCTCTACCATCTCTTTCCTTTTTTTTTTTTGGGGGGGGGGGGCGCGGAACTGGGGATTGAACTCAGGCCCTTGCACTTGCCAGGGAAGTGCTTATTCCATTGAGCCATCTCTCTGGCCCCAGGCTTTTTTTTGTCTCTACCGTTTCTGACACACAGATTATAAGCTACCAAAATTTTCTATAGGTCAAAGAATAAGTTCTTTTCCTTGGTAGATCATTTTAGTTGATGACTAGACCTGACATTCCTCTACATACATTATGATTTATCATGAATGAACTATTTGAAGCTTCCTAAATACAACAAACTATTTCAACACTTAAAACCTCTTGAGGGATCACCTGAGATACCCTGGCATTTCTTTCCAACAAATTATTTTCTACTACTCACCCCCTCCACTGCACCTTGACCACACTTTGGTTATACATTTAATGTTTATATATCTATGTCTAGCACATGGTTTGGAAATGACTGTTGAAAATAACACCCAATAGTTAGCTCTGTAATAACCCACAGGTGAAATGAAGCATCATTTCTTCATGACTGGCTCTATTATTTCTGGAGAAATTTGGAAGATTATAAATTCAAGAACATACTGCGCTCTGCTGACATGCTTTTTAGGGTGCATCCCTGGAAATAATATTAAAAAATAGAAAAGTTATACAAAAGTGAAAACATTCCAACAGGTTCACAATAAACTGAGGTTACTTTTTCATAAACTTACTTACATATGCTAACTAATTCAGGTAACTTCATGCTTTTTAATGGTTATCGTATGGGAAGAAGTGGAACAAAATAACTACCACAGTTCATTAAGAATGCCAAAAACATAAAGACCAACTCAGTTTGAAATGTAAAGATCAAAAAAAAAAAAAAGAAAGAAAGAAAAAGACTGAAATCAAATTATTTTCATATAATTGTTATTTGTAGTTCTAAGCAAATACACAGATTAAAGAAAATAAATTGGGGTCAGCAAGATAGCTCAGTGGACTAAAGCACCTGCTTAGGCAAACTTAGGCAAGCACAAGGATTACGGCTGGATTTCTGGCACCACATGCGCCGGCACCAGTCTGCCGCAGGGTGCACTGAGCCAGCCACCAAGACTGGGCATGGTGGCTCACACCTGCAATCCCAGCACTGGGGAGGCTGAAAACAGGATGATCAGTATGAGTCCAAGCTGCATAGTGAGACCCTGTAACAACCAAATATGTTAAAAAAAAAAAAAAAAAAAAAAATCATGGAACACACATGCTAATGCAAATAAACAGGGACAACCCGCTCAGGCCCCCCTCCTGTCCGTCTCTCAGACAGGAGCTTTCTTTCCTTCAATAAATATATTCTGCTCAGAAAGAAAGAATGAATCAGCATATACCCACTTGGAGGACAGTAGTTCCAGGTTCCACCATGACAGACTGACCATCAACAAATACTTCAATCAAGTTGCTGGCTGCGGTGGCAGTTGTTCGAACTGACCATTAATAAAATAACATGAAAGACAAATTAGTATCACTGAACTTATGGTAGCAAAGGATTAACTGTATGTAAATGTCTCTACATTTTCTATTATTTTTCTGTTTCTCTAGGTGAAATCTTTTACAGTACTGAATTAGAAAAAAAGCTTTTTCAGCTGGAGAGACAGCTTAGAAGCATAAGTGCCTGTCTGGCAAGTACAAGGTCCTGAGTTCAATCCTCAGTATCAAAAGAAAAAGCTGTTTCAATACTATATATCAAACAAAATACAGCTGTCTACTTTTAGTAGTTCACACTGAGACTTTTAACACTTCAAAAACAACTCATTTTTCCATTTTAGCACTGATATGCAGTTCTCTTACAGTACTTCCTACTATAATTTTCTATAAAATGAGGCAAAGGTTGGGACTGGAGAGATAGCTCAGTAGAATAAGCGCTTGCCTCGAAAGCACAAGATCCTGAGTTCATCCCTGGTACTGCAAAATAAATAAATAAATAAATAAATAAATA